ATATGCTAATAGACCAATTTCCACTTATAGATGACATCGCTTGCTGTTTCGGGAATCGCTCCATTTTTGGACTTCGCTGGCCTATTGTTATTCGTGAAGAAAATATCAATTTACTTGATCGCTGGTGCCACGTTTTATTTTTTACGTACCACGAAGCAAGGCATCGACATCAAGCATAATTCCGACCCTTCTGCACGTGATAAGACATTTAATGAAATTCTTGCCAATCCTCAAATTCTGTATATTATAAATGAGGTGACTTCAAAAACCGTGACAAAATGTCACGATCAGACTAATGTGACTTTGACCATACCAGCCCCGCTGAAAAAATCAGATGTAAAAGTAGTATCAGTCAAACCTCAAATCAATATAAGTATACCATCCAAATCCCAAGCCTCTGACTCTTCTGGCTCGATAACCAAGATAAGTTTACCACCAATCTCTCAATCCAGAAAGATCACGCCTTACAGTGCTCGTGTTTCCTATATCAACACGATATTGAAAGATCATTCTTACCTATCCTTGCGACATAGTAATCCTCGTAGTGACAGCTATGCATTTAATAGTTTGGGAGCATGTCCAAAATGTAGGAAAGAGCATAATAAAGGGTTTATAATTGGTACATACATAAATTATTCTTATAACATTAAGTGTAGGTCCTGTTCCCCAGATAGCTTCGTCGGATGTGATTTTTAACTATTATTGCTTTGCAATCGCCTCTAGTAATACATATCTTACTGAATATCACTCCTCACCCTAACAAGTGGTAGATTTGGGAATCTTTTTTCAATGTGGGCTAAGTTAACTGTTCCATAATAAGATTTTTATCGTCTATCAATCTGGTCATGCAATTTTCCGTTAATTGGCTTAACGGAAATCTTGTCACATGAATTTTCGTAATCGATAATCTGATGCATTATATTGATATGGTAATTATTTTCGATTATGTTTATTTCGGTGAATAAATAACCTGGTTGTTTATTTTTTTCACGCGTTAATCTTTTATTTAAAAAGTAGCCGAACTGCGTTAAGTACTATAACTATTTCCTTATTGTATATATTACAATTCCATTCAAAACTGCACCATACTAATCATGTCAAATCCAAACTCAACTACTGCAGTAGGAAACCGTTTCACATTTCGTGTATTAAATCTTTTACTTGCAACAAATGCTGATGTACAAATAACTCCGTAAGATTGATTTATTCTCTTACTCGGTTGATTATTGTTTTATATATCTGAAGTTACGCTGCCTACTTCTTATATGCCATAAAGAACTGGAAGCGCATCGTGGCCACACTGGGGGCATACTTTGTATGACGAGTGTGAACGTCCTTCTTTATTCCGTCGTATAGGGACTAGGTGAATAGGATATATGAGCCAACAATTTTTACTGATAAAAATTTCCCCGCTTATTAGGGCTGGGGTAGGTGATCGAGGCGTCGACATCTATGGCTCTTATTGCGGATTCTATATGGTGGTGCAGTGTAAAGATCAAGTAGCTCCAATACGAGAAAATCAAATAAGAGAATTCGAAGGAGTATTGAGCAGGTATATATATATATTAAATATTATCTTCTCTTAGCTACTTTATTTATTAACTTTCCCTTTAGATACAATTTTGAGGGGGTGTTTGGTCTTTTTATTATATCGTCTCGGGGTTCTTTTACCAAATATGCACAGGATCGGGCGAGGTCTTCTCCCAATTTGGTGTTAACAACAGATGAGAATTTAGAAGAAAATTTGGAGCAATTTCAAGCAGGTCCTTCAGGATTGGTAATTAGGGAGACTTTAGGCGAATTGCGGGACTTACATATTAATCTTGAAAGACAAATTTTGGAGGAGTTTGACAATTTTCGATCTGAGAACAGGAGTTACAGTTCGAATAACTTTAAATTTCGTTTAATTATTATTTTTCTTCTTATTGTAATCATTATTATTTTATATTATAAATAAATATTATATTATCTATTTTATCTATCTAAATATCACTTTACTTTTCTTTATTGAATTCTATTTTCTGAAAATTAACGAAAGCGATCAAAAAAATCAATAGTGCTAGAGAAGTAGCAAAAAGGATTCGAGCTGCAAATATTACTAGAGCAAATTCTTCGATACATTTATAGATGATAGTAACTTAGTATAATATATTTATTATATTACTTGTTTATACTGTATAACGTTTCGATACATTTTTCTTAGGAAAAAACTGGTGATTTGCAATTTGCTCAATAAGACCCAATTCCCGAAGATGCTCTGGAATAACTATATATGGGTTTTCATAGTACCAAATATACCTTAAAACAATCCAGTTTTCTTCACATAATCCATTCTTGAGTTGATCCCGTTCCTGCTGTTTGATAAAATTATTGGGATCGCCTTTATGAAAGAATTCGTGATATTTTTCGTGTTCTCCTTGTACTTCGATTGCAAAACCATATTCTGGATAATAAATATCAAGTTCTAGTCCTGCGGGATATTTCGGTGTTTTGAGAAAATCGGGTCGACGTATCTTAGACGGCATTCCAAGATATTTTGTCACGATTTCTCGGCACAATTCTTCACGTTTATTTCGACAAAATGGACACCAGGAACCATGTAAAATACTATGTGGAGAAGCTTTCCACATATGAAATTTCGCACAAATCCAAAGAAGCTTCGTTTTCACATTATGATATTGATTTGAAAGACAGTAACCACCTTTTTCCTATGCAAATATACGCATGTTCTCAATTGTTCGATAATATCCAAGACAAAATGGACACCAAGAATTTTTATTCTTTACATTATCAAAAGAGGCATTCAATATATGACCTTTAGCACAACGCCACAATAACGGAGATATACTATTGATGTATTCAGTTGAAATACATTCTCCATTTTTACTACGAGCAAACTGTTTTAGATCTTCAAGAGTATAACGACCTACCTTTGAACACCATGGACACCAAGATTTTGCATGTTTAATATGCTTAAGTGAGGCACTCCATGAATGCCCCATAACACAGCGCCATAATAATGGAGTTATATTATTGATATATTCAGTTGAAAAGCATTCTCCATATCTAGATAAAGCGATTTTCTTGGCATGTTCAATAGTAAGTTTTGCTTTGCCTGTACAATGTGGACACCATTGTCCTTTTTTTATGTTACTAAGAGAGGCATACCATAAATGACCTTTAATACAACGCCACAATAATGGAGTTCTGTTATTTTTATAATTAGTAGAGAGGCATAAACCATCATGGGATTTGGCAATAATATACGCATCTCCTAATAATAATTTTTTCATTGAAACTGGATTTCTTTAACTTTTATCTTGAAATTATTATATTTAATTTATGGATGTCCAATGTTATTAAGAAAGTTAAGCATGCAAGAGAAGTCGGAAAAAAGATCAGAGCTGTAAAAGTTATACAACAAAAATGATTAGAGTATATATATCACCCAGATGGTATAACAACACAAGAGCTTGCACTACATTACCAACTTTTATGGGCAGTTCGAAAATAAATGCATCAAATTAACAATATATAGATCATATCTGCAAAGCAATATATATTGACCTATATTCATCTGACACAAAAATCTTTAATGTTGATAATAGATCATACTTGTTATTATTACATATCTACTTAAATTTCACATCAGCTGGAGACGATCAGCTTCTTAATAGAAGTGGCTAATAAGATATATACTATATTATTATATTAATAAATAACAAAAGAAAAAAAATATCTGTTTATCCAATGGATATGCCTTGTTTTATTCATCTAATTTCAGAGGAGTATTCCAACCGAGTCTAACTGCTAGAGGATTGTCTACTGCCTTAGTAAAATCAAAAACCACAAATTCATGATCCTGCAAATGCTTATAAATAATCTTGGATGTCTTTTTTGGATCATCTGTATATTGACATACGATTCTACTAATATCATCTCTACTACCTGAGCCCCGAAATAGGCATAAATGCGAAATATTTTCACGAATAATTTTTGGTGTTTGTATATATTTCTGGCTTACATATATAGGTGAGACATTTTGATGCCAGCCACTAATGAAGTAAGGAATAATTTGTTCTTGCACTTTTTTGGATTCGGTACATAGATCCTCAAAAACAATAACTGTGCTTCATTCCAGAGAGAATTTAGTTATATCTGGAATCTTATCTGGTAATATCCATTTAAATGTAACGTCTTCTCAATATGGTTTTGGAGTATTTACAAAGATCTGATAGCTATTTTGTACAAGTTGCTATTTTGGTTCAAAATGTTTGGCTACTAATCTGAGATCATCATTTCTAATATACCGATCACCTTTTTTTCTATTGAATATGCATTGTAGTTTGTTACCAAGCATAAGATTTATTTCCATGTTAGTTTTTTCGCTATTAGAGCTTCCATTTACGAGCATTCTAAATGGACAGTCTGGTAAATACTTATTACCCTTCATTTATTCTGATGACTTTTTAGATGTCTCATTGATATTATATACATATATGGATATGTTTTTATCTTTTATTTTAACCAAGATATATAATATTTACTATTTATATGATAAATAATCTCTCTCTTGTAATTTGCTTTTTATATAGAAAAATAAATCACAATAGAATGGAATACAAATAAGATCTATATCTCGCTCTTTGCATATATCTCGCTTTTTTTGATCGCGCTTTCTTTGATTTATATAATCAACCTTACCATTGGGGTGAAAGTGTTTTGGAATAATACAAAAATGTTATACCCCATTAAATTCATATGCCAATTTTAGCTCTTCGTTATACCTGTCTAATTGCATTCCATTCAAAAATGACGGTTTACAAGATGGAAATTTTTTATCTAACAGATCTTTGAAAATATATCTGAATTTAAAGTATCATAAGATTATTATTAAAATGCCAAGGAAATTAACTTTAGATGATGAAGTCAGATTAGCAGAAAAGTATGGTGAACAATGTCTCTCCATTCAATATACCAATAATAAAAATCTATTATTATGGTGTTGCTCAAATAATCATGAATGGTATGCTTCTCTCCATCACCTCAAAAATCATAATAAATGTTGTCTTACCTGTGGACATGATAAAAGAATATTAGATATTTTGACAGTTAAAAAGTTGGCACTAAGTAAAAATGAAAAATGTATTTCAGATTCTTATATCAATAATCGGACACCATTAATATGGGAATGCAAAAAATTACATCAATGGCAGACAATATTTAACAATGTAAAAAATAAAGGTCACTGGTGTCAAAATTGTGCAGGTACCGAAAAACTTAATCTCAAAATTGCTAAAGAAGTCGTGATATCAAAGCATGGACAATGTTTTTCAACGGAGTATATAAATATAGATAAACTACTTCTCTGGATTTGTCAATTTAATCATCAGTGGCACATGTCACTTAATAAAGTCAAAAATGGTAATAGTTGGTGTCCATATTGTGCGGGTACAAAACATCTTACTCTTGAAGAAGCTAAACAAATTGCGTATAGCAGGAATGGTGAGTGTCTTTCTGAGATATTTGTTAATATTCATTCACTCTTATTGTGGAAATATGCTAAAGATCATAAATAACATTCAACACTTAAAAATATTAAAAATAGTAACACCTGGTACCCATTTTGTTGCTTACATAAACGTGAAAAATTATGTCGTGAAACTGTATCTAAATACCTTGAACCTCCATCAGAAAATCACTGGCCAGGTTTCTTGAAAACATCAAAATACCCAATAGGTTTAGAACTCAATATTCCTTACTATTATTGTGGTTTTGCTATTGAAATACAAGGAGAACAACATGAAAAATATAATGAATTCTTTCATAAAGGAAATTCCAATAATTTTATTAGATAACAAGAACGGGATCAACTCAAGAAAGAATTATGCGAAGAAAATTGAATAGTTCTATAAGAAGTTTGGTATTATAAAGACCCATTTGAGAAAATTCCAGCTATTCTTCGAGAACTGGATCTAATTTCTTAACTGTAATTATTCAATATCTGTATTTGGTAGATAATTTTTTTCAATCAATGTGGCACGAATGTATGAAAGCAAATCACAATCATAGGGTATAACGATCAATGTAATACTTTCTCACTTGCATATATTCCACTTTTTTTGATTATTTAGATCATCTTGATTTTTGTGATATAAACTATTGCGATAGTAGTGTTGAACTCTATTATATTCCCATGCCAATTTTAGCTCTTCGTTGTATCCATCGAGTTGTAATTTTTTCAAAAATGAGACCAAACATGGTGAAAATTTCTTATCTAATAAATCTTCGAATATATATCTTATACTTCTCTCAGTTGTATGAGAACAAACTGGACACCATTCGAATTTATCCTTCTGGGTTTTATAAGGTGTTTCCTATTGATGTTTTCCGTTTTCACAGGACCAAAGATATACATCGAATCCATTTATATAACCAGTTTTATCAAGACATTTTCTGCCATGCTTTTTGACAAATTGTTAAGCCTTGGCCATTTTATTAACAACACGAATGAAATTAACAGATCTGAAACAAGTATTTTCTTCCAATATATTCTGGGGAGGATACTGAAGAGTATCAATATTCACGTATAAAAGTTTATCTCTCACAAATCCATGCTTTGGAACATATTCATCATCATTATCTCCGAGATAATATAAAACTGGTTCATTTTTTGTTATTACGATTTTCTGAATTTTATGTAAAGAGAGGCTGAAAATTTCATCAGTTGCGTGTCTCTGATTCTCTATACCACCTTCCCATTCGGCATTAGCAAGCAAATAATGAATAGAGTCTCCTTTCTTTAACCTATTCTCTTCATTTTTCCCAACAGGACATTTATATTTCATGGATGGTCGGAATTCTACTTGTTCTAACTTGATTGCTTTTATAGGTGCTAATCCTCATTTTTTTGAACCTGGAGCTCGAATAAGACATGTTGGATAATTATTTAAATATTCAAAAAAGAGCTTTTGGTAAATACTTAATCATGTTCTTATCAATTTAGAATCTGAAGATATACTTTTGATGGCGAATTGTATCTTGTACAACATTTCGGCTAAAGTTTTATTGAAGCGTTCTACAAGAGCTAATTCATGATAACTATAAGCACCAATTACTCAAATTGT